GCCGGGGTCCGGCGGCCTGGGAAGGGGGCAAGGTACAGGGCTGCTGGCCATGGGAAGGGCTCAGTCGGCAGGTTCATCTCGAAGGATGGTGAGGAAGCGCTCCCCTCCCTCACAGAGCAGGCTATGCACAGCTCGGCAAAGCACCAGCCAGGACGGCCCCTGTGGGTCCCGTGTGCTCACCAGTGGGAGGAGTTCAGCCATCAGGACCTAGGGGTAATGCAGGGCCAGGATCTCAGCGGGGGCCCTGTCCCTGGCAGCTAGCTGAGGGCTTGCAGAAGGCCCCCACAGCAGGGCAGTTCCAGGGAGGGCTTCAGGCACCATGGCCAGCCCCTTCTTCCTTCCAAAGCTCTGCTCCTGGGCCAGGGCTGTTGGCTGTGCACAGCCCGGAGGCTCCGTCTGCTGGATGGGCCCAAAGCCCACCACTCCCCCCGGGCACCCAGTCACCTAGTCCCTACCCCCTTACTCGGCTGTACCTTTTCCAGGTGGATCTGCTGCTCTAGCATGGCCACCCGCAGCCTGAGGGCCGCCAGAGTCTGCAGCTCCTTGGTGCTGGAGTAGAGAAGAAGCTGGGGGCTCCAGCTAGGGTCTGTTCTTCCTTCACAGGGCACTGAGGCTCTGGGGCATCTCCCCTCAGGCCACGGCCCCAGCTGCTGTCCCGCCACCGCTGTGACGACAGGGGGATGTGGCCTCATGCGGTGACAGCCAGGGACCTCCTTCCCACTTGCCTCCTGGATGAAGCCCTACTATCCACCAACAACCATCTCTTGCAATACCAGGCAAGTCATCTGCCAGTACGTCTCTGACTCTCACGCGGCACTATCTTGGGAATGAGATAAATAAGCTATTTACAGTGACAGGGCTGTGTCTGGAGAGGCAGTGGGGTGACCCCGCTCCTGGGCAGCTGCTAATGCTGCCCTTTGGCTAGAGAAGCTTGACCGCCGAGCAGACCTCAGCACAAGGTGGGGTGGGGGTGGGGGTGGGGGGGCCAGTGCTCACCTGCACGCAGCCCCTGCACTCTGTGGAGGCACCGCCCTGTGATGGCCTGCAGCCCCTCCAGGGTAAGCAGGCAGTGGTACTCCTGCATCCAGTCAGCAGGGTCTACGCAAAAGTCAGGGAGGGCAGGCCAGGTCCATGCCAGGTCCAAGCCCTCCCTGCCCTGAGACACACACCAGGGCCCACTCACCTGCCGAGAGCTCTTCCTCCATTCGCCGTCTCAGCAAGGAGCAGGCCTTCTGCAGGAGCCCCACCTCCGCCTCCGCCTCTGCAGCACTGAGCCCAGAGCTGGGCCAGCCTGACTGGACACGGGTCATGGAAACTCCTCTGCAGCCAGGTTCCCTCCTTCCTCTCCCACCAAGGACAGGACCCCAGAGTGGCTCTGGCCCTTCCTGGAGTTGCTCCTTAAACTCACCAGGCTTAGAGCCAGAACCACCCCCCGCCCCCAGGGGTCCCACAAGCCCAGCAAGAATACCGTCATCTTCATTTTCTGGAGGAACTGGGTTTTGGCCGTGGTAGCAGCATCCCTGGAGTCACTGGTCTGTGTAGAGCTGAACTGGGCCCACAGGCTGGAATGCAGGCACCCGGGAACCAGAGGGGGATGCCGTTAGTCCATCCAGCTGGGCCTCAGGAGGCAGGGAAAGGCCAGGGGTAGGGGCCCCATGAGGGGTGTCTGGCCCTGCTGAATGCCAGGAGGCGCCTCCAGAGGCCGTGGGGAAGGGAGAGGACGCTGTCCGTGAAAAGGGGACAGAGCAGACCCACTCTGGGAAGTATGAGGAGAGAATTCGAGGCAGGAGAGGAGAGGAGCTAGCAGCCCTGAGTCACTGGGACTAGCTAGGACTCTGGTAAAGAATTCTGGAGCAGACACAGCACTAACCATGAAAGGCACCGCCTTGTTTAACCCCTACTGCACCTCTACGGAGCTGACACTCACCCTCACCTCCACAAAGACAGATGGGGACGCAAAGTCTCCCAATCTCAAAGCCCGCTGAGTCTAAGTCCTAGCTAGGCAGACTCTCTTAACATGGAAAGTGTCCCCACCCAGCCAACAAAGCAGAGGGGCCTGCTGGAAAAGTCTTACCGATGCGGCCCTGTGCTGGTGGCAAGCCTAGGCCTCCCTGCTCTCCCCTCCACCCCCACCCAGCTGAGACCCAGCCTTACCGGGAGTTCTGGGAAGCCGCTTTCCTGTAGGCCATAGGTAGCTTCAGCAGGATGCTGTCAGGGAAGCCAGTGCTCAGAGTAGCCTCACTCTGGAGGCTTCTCCCCCCACACAAGCAACAGGGCTTCCAGCTTGGTTGTGGGAGCCAGCACAGTCCAGGTCTGCCCTGGCCGAGAGAAGAGAGGACACCAGGAGCAGAGCCCAGGCCCTCCACAGCCCATTTGGAGCCCCCGGGCTGAGTGGATAAGAGGATGGGGCACTGGACAACCAGGGAGAAGGGGACAGACCCCAGCAATGGTCCATTCTGCCAGCTTTGGGACATGGATCTCATGGGATGGCACCCTGGGGGCTTCCCTGGCCCACATCCAGCTCAATGCCCTGCCCTCCCTGTCATCCCAGCTTCCTGCTGCTGGCCAGGATCTGATCAGGCAGACACAACAGTTCCTCCAGGAAGGGTCTGGGAAACCTACCCCTTCTCCTTCAGTGTGAAAGCTTCTGGGGCCTGAGGAGCAGCCGATGGGGGTATCTGTTGGTCCCTGAGGCCTGGTCCAGGCTTGGTGGCTCGGGCTCCTCTCCCCATATGGGTGCGATCCCCCACTGATGGAAGCCTGCACTCAGGGAGGCCCCTGGCAGGCACCGTGGTCTGATGGGCGCCCCTGGGTGGTTTTGTCTCTGAGGCTCGACTGCCAGCCTGGCTGGAGGCCCGGGACGGGGCAGAGGCTGTGGTGGCAGAAGCGGCAGCAGACCCAGACTTGAGGCTGAGGGCTTTGTGTCTTTCTCCAGCCTTAGACGTGCCTTTTCTCACCCGTACAGCCTTCTCCAGTGCCTGGGTCAGAAGCTCCAGCTCCTTGAGTTCTTGAGGGCTGGGTGTGCATGCTGCAAAACCCAAAAACTCTTGCAGTGGTCACTCACCACCGCTTGTCAGAAAACAGAGCAGGGGCGGCACCAAGAGAAGGTGGGTGGTGGAGGTTTACCGGGAGGCGGGGCCTCTTCATTAGGTTCTGGCCCTGGGGCTGGCTCCGCAGCCGGCGTCTCGACTGGTTCCCTGCCAAGACACAGTACAGGCGTGGCACGGCCGAGAGGCAGGGCCCAGAACCTACCGACCCCAAGGAGCCGCCTGGCCTCGCGGCAGCTCCCCACCCTCAGAGCCTGCAGACAAAGGGGAGCACAGCTGGCAACAAGCAAGTGGGCGCTGGGCCCGGGCTCGCAGCTGGGGGGCTCTGAGCGGGGTTCCGAGGGCGGCCTCGGGGTCCGCGTACCAGGTCCGCAGCAGCCGGCGGGAGACACACAGGCTCCGCTCCAGCTGCCGCTGTCGCTCGGCGCAGGCGTCCCGGGCATCCCGCAGCTCGGCCACCAGCCTGGGGGGGGCGCACCGGCGGCTCAGCACCCCGGCCGGCCGAGCGCCGCGCCCCCTCCCGCCCCGCTCCCTCCCAGCGCGCGGGTCTCACCGGCGCGAGCAGCCCGCGGGCAGCATGAAGGCAGGCGTGGATCCTCCGGATTTGCCGCCTCCGGGAAGTCGGGTCCTTTCCGGGCTAGGAGACCGCCCCCTTCCGGCCGGGCTACCCAATCCCGAGCCCAGGGCTCAGGGCCCGCCCCCCGGC